GACTTGATGGAGGTTGTAAACGCAAAGACAGACAAGGCTAGTGTAGGCACTATGGCAGCCACCATAGAAAGGCACCCAGAGGTAAGATATCAAAATCATACTTTTCTTCGTTGCACATTGCTATAACCCCCTTTACTGGTGCTTTGGTGATAGCGTCCTCCCGCTTTCTCTCCTCTCCGAACACGATATACTGATCACTTGGGACATCTTTTAGCGGCGCTTCAAGGCAGCGTTCGAGGCTTACCTCGACCAGGAGCTCCCTCAATTACGCAAAGATCACCCTGGACTCAGATTACAGCAGTATAAAGATCTACTCTTCAAATCCTTCCAGAAGAGCCCAGATAATCCGTAAGCATCGACTCTATGGATACTGATCTGAGCTCATATTTGTCTCAGATTTAATCAAACAACTGTTTCCTACGACGCTACCAAAGAGGAGAAAGTAGAAGCTCTGAAGAAGCGGCAGGAAGAGGTTCAAGAGCGCTTACGTGAGAAGAAGGGGATGGGATCTTCTTGATCAATCGAACCTTTTGGAACCCTCCATGTCAGCCGATATCTTTCGACTCTGCGCTGAATCCATAGTTGCCTCTATTATTCGCACACACTCTTGTTGCAGCTCAACTTAAGCTTTAAGTTTCGGTGCAAGCAGGTTCAGTTTATGTCAGCATCGGTATTCAGTTGGTGGGCAACAAAGAAAAGTTGGGTGCAGTCGACTCCTAAATATGAGAACAGATTAAAGGTAACTGACAAGTCTGTTTCCGAATCGAAATGTTTAAGGAATGTTGTTCTAGGTGAATAGAAGACAGCTAAACTCCACATTCGCTAGTCCAAGTGCCAGAGGCATCCGGAGCAACGCTAACTCATAAAATTTACTCGATGGAAGTAAATTTCTATTCCTTGTATCTTGGTATTTTCCAGTCCAGCTTTGCATGCGACGAGAATAGCCAGAGGTAGTTATGGATAGCCCCCCCATAATATTTCTGAGGTAAGATGACTACTTACACCCTTACCACGATCCCGACGCGGGGATAACGTCCTGTTTCGTCATATGGTCTCTCATGAGAAACGATGTACAGAAAAGAGAACGGTTAGCTTTTGAGGTGACTTTCCCTTTTCAGTAAGCCTGACTGAATGGATATCAGGAATTCTCCGTGACTGCATCCAATGAGAAGTGCTCAAATGATGTCGGGGGCTTCGTCGTAATCGCGTTGGTCGAAGGTTGAACCCAATCACTTCCCGGACCACTACTCCACTCGATCACTATCACTATCACCATCACCATCAAACCAACCTCTCATGCAATCAGTTGCCGATACCTGGGCGAAGGAGAACGTCACGAGCTCTGTACAATGGACACAGGCCCACAGTCAAATCCGTCAATCTTTACGGAACTCATTCTGGCTAATAGGCGATATCGTAGCCTGTACCACCAACAATGGAAAACCTGATTGAGTTGAACTTCCATGAGCACGGGTTCAGGATAGCAGAACACATTAATACTAGCTCTTTGGTGACTACACCTGTTTCTTCGCCCTCCCTTGCCACCCCGCTCCCACATCAGCTCTAAATCGTTACCCACAAGAAGTTCTTGTTTTATTTCAAATGAAAAACGCCGCCACTGGAGAATGGCTGTATGACCCCGCGCTTGACGATGATGGTGGCGGTTTCGGTTTGGGGCACCGTTCTACACATGTGATGGGCAAGG